GGCCGAGCCTCCCGATTTTCCCGGACATGCCCGGCTTTTGGGGATTTCCCCCCGGACGGGGATTTGAGCCCCCAAAAGCCGGACATGTCCGGGAAAATCCGGACGTATGGTAACCCTACCCAATGCCCCAGGGCCCCACAGGTGACTGAGTGAGTAGCCCCACTTGTGTCCTCTGCCCAGACACAATCCCTTCCCTGCTTCTTTCCCTTGTGTTTGCCAGGGTCCCATTAACATGCTGCAGCTGAACGGCCCTCCCCCAGGCCTTCCCTCAGAGACACAGCCGCCTGGCTTCTCCTTCCTCCTCACTTTCTCCATGCCCCGTCCCTTTGTCTGTGCTCCCTCCCCACCCCATGCACTGTATGAAGCACGGCTCTGCCTCTCTTGTTGCTGGGCTCTGAGCTCTATTGTCAGGGCTCCCAGAGGATTCAGGGGGCCTGGGGCAAAGCGGGGGAGTGCGGCGCTTGTACTCACCCGGCGGCGGTCCAGGTCTTCGGCAGCATTTCGGCAGTGGGGGCCCTTCAGTCGCTCCGCGTCTTCAGCAGCACTGAAGGGCCCCCGCCGCCGAAGACCCGGACCACAGCCGGGCCAGGGATCACAGGGCCCCTGCAGGGCCCTGGGCAAATTGCCCCACTTGCTAGCCCCCTGGGGCCCAGGCTATTGTCGTGTTCTCTGCTAGGTCTGTTTGTGCCAGACTCTAGCAATAACCCTCTGCCTGCTGGCAAAGGCTTCTGGCTTAACACTAAAGCCTGGTGCTAGGGCAGAAGCAGCTCCCCATGTACCCTCAATGGCAGGAGCTGTGCGTGGTCCCTCGCTCCCCCTTTGGATTACGGGGTGTGTCTTGGTGTATATTGGGGGTCCTGTCAGGCGTGGGAGTCCTGGGGGTCTGCCTGGGGGTGGGGGTGTGGATAAGGGTCAGGGCAGTCAGGGGACAGGTAGAAGATAGAGTCCTAGCGGGCAGTTAGGGTTGGAGGGGGTCTCAGGAGGAGGCAGTCAGGGGACAAGGAGCAGGGAGGCTTAGGTAGGGTGTGGGGTCCTGGGGGGCAGTTAGGGACAGGGGTCCCAGGAGGGGGCAGTCAGGGGACAAGGGGGGGTGTTGGGTGTTCTGAGGAGGAGTCAGGGACCCGGAAGTGGGAGGGAGTGGATTTAATTAGTAATTTGATATGTCGGGTGGTGCCTTTTTTTATGTGTTCGCGCCCCCTGATTTTAGAACCTGGCTACGCCACTGACTCTAGTGCAAACCTTTCCACGTAACTACAATACCAAATCTCACAAACCAGCTTTTCTGGGGCATCCCCCCCACCACACACCCCCAAGTTCGTTAGTGCTAAGGATGGAAAGATCACACTTTAGTGCGGTCCCACTCACACATTGTTTATAGAGGACGAAGGAAATGGAACATAGAACATTCTACATCAGTTTAATAGGTTAAGGCCTGAAGGGACCATTAAACAATCTAGTCTCACCTCCTGCATAACCCAGTTATTTAACCCAACAGCTTGTCTTTGACTGTGGCTAC